GTCTAACTAGCAAGTGACTGGGACACACCCATGCTCCGCATGCCTGGCGCTTCGCGTTTTAGACCATCGTATGCCCACAGTATGTTCTGATTGTGTGCATACAGCATGCAACAGTATGTAGCCTACTTTGTAAAGACAGCTGCAGTACCTTCTAAAAGTGAAAAGAAAAAGTATGTGATTTGGAATGCACCCAATGGACACTCAGTGGAAATGAAATGAACTGCATCACAAAATGAGACTGTCAAAGTGCTGTAATTGTTAGTGTGATCAGTCTGCTGATGGAAGGTTGAGATAGAGATGTGAGCACATCTCTATTGTGATCAGTAATGTTTTATTTACTCACTGTCATTCAGTGTTTGGGGAATATTTCTCCTACCCCTTTGTCTTTCCACTATTTTCTTCTCTGCTGAAGAAACTCTTCAGTCTCTTAAGAGTCCACCCTACTCCACTTTGATGCTTTGTGAAAGCTTTAACTTTATCAGGATCCAGTCTTGACTTGAAGGGGACATTCTGAGAAATGTCATAATTCTCAGATTTGTCACTAGTCGCAGCTCCTTGTAGACTAGAAAGCTTTGTGAATATGGCCCCTGATATTTTTCATTAAGAAATACTATAGAAATTAGAACTCCACAATTGTGAGCAAACATTTGTAGGTTTCACATTAAGATCTTTCTAGCAGTCCAAAACTCTCCCCTCTCTCTTTTTAATAGACAGCTCATGTTCATTTATATGCCTTTTTCTCCAAATAATGTTAAATACTAAGAGCAATCTATAATTCCTTCCCAGCGGCTATTAGAATCAAACCTCTTGTTTGGAGCCATTGTAAAATGGATGAGAATGAAAGAAAACATGTTTTGAGTGAGTTTTCTCTCATTACTTTGTCAAAAGACAGACCCCTGAGATGTAATCTCTTCAACATTACTTGTGATTCAGAAGTTAAATTGAATTAACTTTTAAAAGTTATTTTATCCCTCTTAAATTGGTTTAACTTAGTTTGATGTTATTATACAAAAAATTAAGAGGAATCCCTGCTATCTAAGCCAAGGATCCACTGAGAAGTCTTGAACTTTAATTTCAGAATCGGAAATGGATGTGGTCCAGCACAACACACAACAATCATGATTTTCACTCACAGCTTTTGGGGTACAGATTTTGTGAAATCACTGCTACTGCCTTTACTGTTTCAGTGGTGCGGTGGATCCAGATTTTGCCAGGATGCTGAGTGGCAGAGTGGACAGTATCTCTGCTTTTCACATGGGGGATGCGCTCAATTCCCATATTGGGAGAGTTACGTTTCCTACTATATCCTGATAATACACCAAGAAAGACAATAGTTGTTAGCACAGTTGTTACTGCACAACAGAATGGAGAATTAATCTTATAATGCTGTGGTGCTCAGTGTCCTCACACCCTGCAAGGTCTGTGGTTCAACTCCAGACTACTGCAGTCCAGTGCATTTGGGCTTCAGGATTTTTCAAGCTGTTTATTTCATATTTCTTCATTTCCAGCAATGATTTGAAACAAATTTCAGTTGTCAGCATTCACACTATGTTTCTGCATGAAATGCATTATCCAGTTGACTTTGCACTGTAAAAAATGTTAAGAAAAAGCTTAATATTTTAAAAAGTATAAATGCTGGACAAGATAAAAGTAAATAACACGAATGAGCTGAACATTTTAATATTTAACTGGTTTCTGTAGCTCCAAACATGCAAGAGGATAGAACTTGAGGATACATTTTCTGCAGAAAACGTAGGCTTAATGAGAACATGGGGAACTGATGGTTGCCTGTTTGATTCCTGTCTAAGGCTACTACTTATTCTAATACTACTGCTGCTTTTAATGCTACTGCTGCTGTTCTTGCAGCTGGATACCAATTTTAAGGTATACTATGATTTGACAGTTGACAGTTATCATACCATGTACATTATGATATTGAAAAAAAAATGCAACTGGACAGACTGGATGGACCTTTATTTTAGTCATTTTCAAAAGGGAGCCTTTTTTCCCACATACTTTCATTTAAAAATGGTTTCAACTTTCAATTATAGTAATAAATCCTTTATTCAATCAAAAATAACCCTTTGGTTTCATTAAACAATAGGTCAATCTGACTGATAATGGTAGTTACAGTGCATGTCAGTTGTTTGCCTCTTTGGTACTGGTGATTGGAGGTTCAAATCCTGTCCAATTCAACTGTTTCTAAATCTTACATAGTTCATTGAATTATTAATCAGACCTGCAGCACTGTCTGACTGAATTTAAAGAAATACCTCACCCACAAAATGACCACTTGTATATCCATTAATGTTACCTTGAATTTGTGAAGGAAACATTGTTTTTTTCCCCCCGCATATCCTCATGGAAGAACATATTGATCTGTTAACTGATTGTGTGCTGTGTTTAACAACAGCAAAACTACATCAAAACTTCCTCCTACACAACTAATCCAAATAATCAAAGTCTCATTCATCTAGTTGTACCTACCAAACACATGCATTTTCATTAAAACCTCACTATGTAAAACTAAACTGAAAGTGAAACATATCTATGCTCTTCAAAGCCAGACCCCAATAAGATACCTTTTTTTTTTTTTTTTTTAGGAAAAATGCATTTGTTGGTGAGGCACGAAATGAGACTTGGATTACACTGTGTTGTGTGAGTTGGGTGAAAGTTTGTAAATGTGTTTTTTTTTTTTAAGATTATTTTTCGGGGCTTTTTGCCTTTAATGGACAGGACAGATTGAAATGGGGTGAGAGAGAGAGAGTGGGGGTTGACATGCAGCAAAGGGTTGCAAGCCAGAGTTGAGCCTACGACCGCTGCAGCGAGGCATCGTCTCCGTACATGGGGCGCCGGCACTATCCACTACGCTACCGACGCCCCTGTAAATAGGTGTTTTGATATAGAATACCCAGGAAGGCAATCCAGGCACTTCAAAAATATAGAAAACAAGGAGGTAAGTATTAAAAAGCTTTTATTGTAGTGCTAAATCATGTCAATCAATCAAGTCTTCGTCGGACTTTAAAAATGTTTTGTGTTGATATTGTTTTATTGTAGTTAAACATAGTCTCTAGCCAATAAATAAATCAATGTGTTCAATGTTTCCGCAGAGGCATGCAAGAATAAACAATGTTGTATTCAATTTCAAGATAACATGGCATGGATAACTGATTTACAAATGGTCGTTTTGTGGGTAAAGTATCAAAGACTTTTTTAATAGTCACGAGTCTTACTCAACTTCTATATGCATAAACACATACTAATGTACAAAATAATCAAAGCTTATTTTCAGTCATCTTGGTTGATTGGATTATTGTATACAGCAGCAGCAGCAGCAGTGGATCTCAGTTCTGTCAGGATGTTTAGTAAAGGAATAGATAGTATTTCTGCTTCTCACACAGGAGACTGTGGTTTCTGTTGAATGCTATACCAGTTGCTGATTATTCACCAAGAAACACAAAAGTTATACAGCGCTACAGTTGTTAATGCAGAACAAAAGCATTGTGCTACACAATAGCAGATTTGCTATAGCACATGTCCTTAAGTTCACACACCTTAAGTTCGACCTCAACATTCTGCGCTGCAGTGTATTAGGGCTTCAAGATTGTAGGATGTTCCCCAACATATGGAAATGGTTTTTTTTTCCTCCTTACTACATCTATTTATCCACACACACATACACATATACTATATAT